TCAGCACGCGCGCCGTAACGAGCGGCGCGAGTGGACCATTATAAATTCATACCGCCAATATTGTCGTCGCCGACGTCGGAGATTTTATTCCGCGCCTTAATCATTGATTTGCAAATAGGAATATGCTGGCACATCCGATTCACGGTTACTGCAGCAGCAGCGACGGCGGCGACGGGGACGGCGCGAGGGTTGCGGGACTCGGCGGGGGAGGAAGGGAGGATATATTTCAACGCTTGTGCGACTCGTTCCGCGCGATCCCTTCGGTTTATTGATTCGCCTCATTTGTAACGGCTCACCGATGCACGAGACAGATTTGTCAATGATTTAAAGCGTCGAAGCTGAACTGTCTCGCGGCGCGAGACCCAAGCTCGAAAAGCAGGCCATTGTAGGCCTATCGGACAGGCGTGTTGTGAAATAATGCGGAGACGCGACCGTCCGGCGTTTAGAGAAATAGTCCTCTAAAAAGAGAATGTTAAAACAGTGTCAATTTTGACCTCCAAGTGAATAGATCTTGAAAAATCATTGGGTCCTTAAATGACAGGAAATAGTACAATCCTTTGTACGAAAAATGATGAGAACATTTTTAGAATTTTATAAATATAGTAAAAGAAAATTATCTACGTATGTAATTTTAATAATTGAAAATCATGATTCTAATCTGAATTGTGAATACATTCTGCGTGTAAAAATCGCGGACTTTACGTTATCTAGGCAGATATTAGGATTTCACAATTCGTCACTCCTATAGTATTTAGTGACTCCAAACCTCGTCTGCCGCGTGTGTGTGAGATAAAATTAATGAATTCACGTTTTGTTGGTCTTTATCAGAATTTGATAATACCAATAATGATTCTTCATATACACACGCGCGCGACAGAGAGAGTTATTTAGACAATAGGTGGGATTAGTTAGAGGCATGGTCCAGTTTTGAAGAAACGTTCGGAGATAAAACATTGTGCCGACGTTTCTCTCGGCCCACCGCGCCGAAATCGCCGGGCTATCGCGTAAAAGCGATCGTTGAATTTTCATTTGCCGTGAATATACCTCGTCGGATTAAAGTGGCCGAATGGCCGCCGAGGGTTCGTCGAAATTTCGTAATAGAGAGTGTGTGTGTGTGTGTGTGTGTGTGAGAGAGAGAGAGAGAGAGAGAGAGAGGCGGGAATTCCAAAAATGACAGCGCTGGTCGCGTGTCGCGTAATTAGGTTGATGTCTCTTAACGCGATACAATAGAGCATCCTCTCTGTTTCCCGTTGTTTCTCTCTTTCTCCGGCCTATCTGCCGCATTCCTTATGCACAAACAGAATAATAACGGATTCTGTCGAGGGAAATGGAAATTCCAGAACTTTCCATATTTCTATTCTCGCAGGTTGCCGGGATTTGCCGGCGCTGTTTTCAGCAGCCCGAGTTTATGAAGCTATAAATCTCGGCGATAAGTCGAAGAGCGCGACGCCAAGTGATTTTGGGAAAAACAAAAAAAAAAGAAAGAAGATGAAGAGGACTGAGGTGTGTCGGTGATACTCTTTCGAGAAGCGCGTTTTCGCGGAGGGATCGCGGTTGTTTCCGTGATCGTGCAGCCGAGAGGAGAGGAGCGCGAGACTGAGAGGAAAAGAGAGAAAGACGGGGAAATTGGTTACTTGCTCGCGTAACCACGTCCCCGTTACGTACGAGGAAGGCGCGGAAGGGTCGACAAATGCCGCCAAATAAGAATCTGAGCGAGCAAAAAAGCAAGTCGCGCGCGCACTTCCGAGTCTCGGGGGGCGAAAGCGAGAGGTGAAACTTTGCATTCGAGAGACTTAATTCACTCGAAACTACCGCCGCGGCGCGCGGCCGCCCTTATCTGATTTTTGCACAACACCGTGCGCGTGATCCGTTACAAATTCACGGTAAAAGTTGTAATCACTTTCTGGCCGAATAGTATGGAAATTTATATAAGCTGTATCTATAACCAAATAACACCTTAGCCGCGCGCGCGGCCGACGGCGCGGGGGGGCGAGGATCGCGGGTGTAGGAAGCGCGAGAAGCCGTGGAATTTTCAATGCTAATTTCGAACATGGTTGGCTGTTTCGCGGTCGTTGCCTCCGCGACAAAACCGTAGTCAGGGACATTGTGCAAATGCAGGTGACCGCCGCCGCCGCCGCCGCCGCGTTCGATTAAGAAGCAAAACAACCGAGCATTGGCTTTGTATTCCTGATTAACGCGCGGATCCCCTATGATTCGAGCGCTCTCAGCGCCGTTAATACACAGCAACGTCGAGGAATGCAGAGCGAGTTCCGGGGGCAGGGAGCAGCAGGGGCGAGGGCGGCGGCGGTGAAGGCGGAGGGGTGTCGTCGAAAAAGCCAGCACCTCGACGCGCGTCATTCGGCGAGAGCGTCGGGAATTTTTGTTTCGCCGATATTAGCAATTTTAACACGGCCGGCCGACTTTGGAGAATAAGCCGCAAAGCAGATTACCTCCTCGGGCCGGCGAAATCTTTTTTACTTTCCTCCTCCTCTTCCCTCTCTCGCTCCTTCTCTCTTCATCTCTTTCCGTTCCCCTCTCGTCCCGCCTGCCTGTCTGCCCGCCTGCTCTCCCTCCTTCCTTCCTTTTAATTTGTAAGCTACCATAATACTGTGGAGCTCGCGTAGATGCTCCTCGCGGCGGAAAAATCTCTCAAGGTAAGCCCCGAGACGCGCGAGGGCTAAAATCAGCGGCGGAAAAAATTGCAAAATTTCATGACGCGCGCGCGGCGCCCTTAAAGCGCGCCCGACAATATGTTTGAGAAAAGGCGGAAGAAGCTTCAAGGTTCGCCTGACATCTCGCGGAAAACGAGCGACTGGAGCGAATTAGCTTCGGCTCGTGCACCGGTTTTCTTCCACTTTCTTCCTCTCTTCTCGCGTTGTTTCTTTTTTTTTTTTTTTTTTTTTTTTCTCCTGCACGCGTACGCGAA